TCTATTCCTCCACAAAAGATCAAACCATCATACAACTAAAACATTGGTGTTTACAAAACATTTATTTGGCGTATGCTCAATACCTGCTCAAACCAAAAAGGAATCGAACAAGAAATCAACTACCTAAAACATTTTGCTGTATTACCAGGATTTGATATCAACAGGTTGTTTTACAATATCAAAAAGAGTTATAAACAAAGCCAATGAAATAATTTGGAAAAAAAATTATATATTTACCTTATTACCCGGAAATCTAAAATAAAATAGGTACATTATTGAACAACAACCAAATGAAACCAATGCTCGTGCAACAAAGTATACACAGGTAAAACTAAACGGTCGTTGAGCGTAAGAATAGAAGAACATGAAGTTCAGGGTCGCTGTTTGGAAATAGAAAAATCAGCAGTCGCCGCTCATATTTAGCAATATCAAATTCACAGAAACGAAACTCATTGCAGAACCTAAATATTTTCACCAAAGAAATATTAAATAAGCTAATGAAATGCACAGGAATGTAGACAAACTCATAAACAATGATATGGACTTTCAACTAAATTCATTGTAGAAAACATTTTTCACCAGAATATGTATGAAGAAATCAGACCGAGCAAACAATACTCGCTAGATGTCGCTGTACACACGCACAGTATACCTTTGAAAATAACGCACGTGGTACCTCGAAACTAGTCGTGGAAATAATCTTTATATTTTTGTAAATTTGTGTTTCTACTTCGTTTCTGAATTTGTGCTTATAAAGCTATTAATCTTTACAACAATCCTCCTCGCCTTGAGTCATCCCCAACTATCCGGATCCCTTGATTTTTCTATAGCTTGCAACAGTGATGTTCCCAGTTATGTTCTCATCACATCTCTCCAACTTATGGCTGGTCTTCCTCTTTTTTCTATGTTCCTCGACTCTTCCTTCCATGATTTTTTTTACAACCAGGTCCTGCCATTTCTCGCTATGTGCTCAAAATCCAAAGCTTTTTATCACTCTTTAGTCTTATTTAACGCTTTTTTTTTCTGCAAACATCCCTAATCTTGAATTGCGAACCAGAGGCTAGGTAACAAGTCGTCAGCACCCGACGCTTTAAGCAGCCACTCTTCTAATGTACCCACAGCTGAAAGTGCCAATCGAACCTCAGATCTCAAGTATATGTTAACCAATGAGTCACTGTCACGAAGAGAGAAAAAACAAACAAACACGATTTATGCTTATATACATACGCTAATTTAGAAAGCATTTATGTTATATAAATGATTAAATTGGTCATAGAATTAATTGAACTTTCTGAGCGTCACCTTTCCTAACACCTATACCTTTTTCTTTAGACTGGCGGTTTAGATAACATTTCCCTTCATGTAACAGGTTAATTTATATGAATGTGTATATAAATATGTGATATATTACGAATAATCAAGTGTATATATGTACATAATGATTCCCATCCCAAGACATCAAGTACAAATAATAAGACCCTGGTGGCTTAGCGGTAAGTTTGAGGACTTATAAAGCTAAAATCAGATTTCGATACCTGCGGTGAATAGAGCACAGATAACCAACCCATCGTGTATTTTTGCACTTAGCAACAAATAAACAATCAAACTAAGTGATAAATAAAAGTTTAACAAAGAGCATTTACATCTAAAAAAAAAAAAACATGAAGATTAATAAGTTTTGGTGGTTGATTCATTATTTCTCAAGAGCAATTTTGCAACCAGTAACATTCTTTTTTTTTTCTGACCCATCCAAAAATGATGACAAACAAATTCTTTTTGCGAAATACAGCTTAATAATTCTTAATTAAGTGTCTTCCTGAAACAAATATGTATTTGATGTTTTGACTGTAAGTTCTTAATTGATTTTATCCTTCATTGCTATACCCAAAATCTTATGTTTGTGAAAGAGGCAATTGTCTTCGGAAATTATTGCCTTATATTCGTAAAATAGGATAATACTTCATTATTACAGACAATGAACAAATACAGATTTTTCTATTGAATTTGGTCAGTCTCGTATGAGTTTAAGATTATACCATTGAAGATGCTACAGTCAAATAGTTTTTGTACATCACTTACTGTTAAGTCAGTTTAAAAGACATCTTACTGTATAGCATTTCATATATTGTATCAGAACAAAAGTATTATTATTTTCATATTTGTATGACATGAAATTTCAAGTATTGTCAATAAATAGGATTAGAATTTCTTTTAAAAAATTAGGTATATGCAAAATATACACGATTTTTTCGGCAAAATATCATTCCCATAAAAAACGTAGAGTTCAATAAGAATTATTTAATTATTATAACATGTTACTTTTCAACCTTAGTGAGAAAAAAGTGTTCAATGAAAAGAAATATCTGACCTATTATAAAATGATTTCTTGTTAACACAATATAACGATTAATATGTTAGGATAAAAGTGATATATTTGAGGGTAGCTTCGTCTCTGTAAAATATACTAATCCTCCTTTATAATTCCTGTTTTAGAAGGAAACGTAAGAACTGCATATCATATATGTATTGGACTTTTGGAAATATTTAAAACTAGATACATCATTTTTTTCCATCTTGATGTTTCTCGCGTGATTATAATGATTCTTACTTTAAACAGAATAATACAAGAACAAGACTGTTTTCGATAAGAATAAAACAGGCAAGTTGTCTCATATGTTTTGATTATAATAAAACTTTCAGTGCACTATTCGTAAAGTGTCCTTCTTTTAATTTTTTAAATTTTATTGTGTTCAAAACTATGTAGTTGTTGGTGCAAATAACAAAATCACGTTAAAAATATCAAGATTTTCTATGTTCGTGAAATATTTTGGTTTTCTTTATACGTTTTGCAAATTGTCTGAAAAAAAGCATTGAATAATGTTTTTAAGAAGAAAACTACATAACATTTGTTAGTTTCTGTCTGTGCAAAGCTACTCTGTAAATGATTACAGTTCTTAAAGATAATTCACCACTTTCTCAATTTTTGCAGGGCTTTTCGGCGTAGTAGTTTAACAATCTTCATTTTTATTAATATTTGTCCATTTTCTTTGTCACTCTAGATGAGATATTAATAATACTCAGTACCTTCAAACTAGCTAACAAACATATATCAATAAGAACCTAGTCCTTTAGGTTATATTTTGATTTTATACGTAGACAAATGATTAGTCTATAGAAGTGAAAAATATATCTCGCAATAAAAATGAATGTTTATCAGTGTGGAAAATAACTGGCTTAGATACAGCCTAAACATTTTTACTTTAAAAGTTGTGTTGAACAGGTGTATAAAGACCGAATGTGAAATAGGAAGGAAAATATTTGGTCTTAAGTGCAACATAAACATTTTTGTTTGTAAAGTTGTGTTGAACAAGTATGCATGTAAAATAATAATGTTTCTATACAAGCAAAAGCTTTTATTCAAAATTCCATTTCAACGATACAATGAATTTTATCCACAACAGAATATCACAGGGCATTCCACGTTTGTTGTTTCAAGTATGGATTTCAAAATTAGCACTTCTATTACAATACTAGAATCTACTGCAATTAAATTTAGCATGTATTGTTCCTTAGTTGTTTTTGTTTCCCAGATCTTCTATGTAAAGCAACAATAAATTATTAAAGAGAAGTTGATTGTTATTTTTATGATGACCGTACCTATATATATATAAGGTTCAAATTTAAAATATTTCTAAGTCAGACAAACAGTTAATATTATCAACAACACACTCAACTTACATTGTACTTTAGTTAGATGATTCATATAATTTGTGAGATACAACATACTTCAAATACCTCCGACTCACTTTTCATACCATTTTCTTTCTTACAGATTTGGTAGCCTGCATTTATATGGTATGACTAGCTTTAATGAGCTTCACGAAAATATCTATCATTCTCTTACGTAGGTCCCATTGAGGCAACGCATTTCCAAATATTTAATGGCAGCTTTCATCATGGGAGTGTTTTTACAGACAAGGTTTGCTTTTTTTAATATTAAGAAGACAATACTTCGACTTAATGAAGGCTTTATCGCATACATCTGAAAAATCACATGTCACGTTTTTAAATGATCAAGTCTGACCATGTATAGAACATACGTGAATGTTAATCAAACGTACCGCACTATCAAGGCTTCATTCAGTTTTTTATTTTATTTTATGATAAAGCATAGAATACAGCGTGGCGGGAAAGTGAAATTATTATTGGCTTTGTACGTATACAGACCAGAAACAATAAAAAAATAAACATGGTCATAAGAGTAAAATTCAAATAAAGATTGTTCAACTGATGTTGTGAACAATACGCGTCACAAAAAAAAACAAAACACGTTTGTTTTCGTAAACGATATCTTTATCTATTTGTTTGTAATGGCAAAATTCAAGATGCTATTTTCAAGTTGGACTTAACTTCATCGTCTGTACTTTCTTCGAATAAATCTATATTTAAACCTGTATTAACAGCGAATAAGAAGACTGCTTCTTGATAAACAAATCAGGTGTTGTGTGAAAAATAGGAGTATTTATTTTTAACTTATTATACAATCAAAAGTTATGTATTCTTTAATATCTCAGAGAACTAATGTAATGGCAAATTTTTTACACCTAATACTTAAAAACGAGTTTGTTATATGTAATAAAAAAGGATTCGCTTTTATATTTTGCATTGAAATATGCTGTATTGATTAGGAAAACTGCTTTCCAAAACACGCGAATTAAATGTTTTGAACAATCTAATTAAAATTGAATAAGATAATTTAAGAATATTGTATATTCCTGAAAATTTTTAAAGAATGTTATTTTCTCTGTAATAATGTTTTTATAATATAATATTTTTATTCTTTGCTGCGTTCACACACATCTTATATCATAGGACAGTATGAATAAGAATAAATCATCGCTCTGACTTTGAATTACTTAAAATACTTATTACGATGTAGAATAAAAATACGGAATATATATATGTATATATTATTAACAAATATCTTAAGATTGCTAAGCTTCCTTTTAACCTACCAAGCCATAGATTTCTGAATACAATTATGATACTTTCAAAATATAAGAATGTACTGGCCACTTGAAACATAGGCTAAATTCTGAAGGTGTTAGATATTAAGTGATGAACATTAATGCAAGCAAGACGTAACTTGTAGGTTAAACAGCTTTTTTTTTTCTTATGGCGTTTAAAACAAAGGCACCACAAACGAGCTATCACAGTGCGACTTGGACTAATTCAAGGATTCACAATCTCCCGCAACCAGAGCTGAGATTGGCCTCTGACCTATTCTAGCTCAGAAAAATATTCACTTTTATTTTTGGAATCGGTAGTTGGACCAGAAACCTTTAAGGCTATTACCTTCCGATTTATCGACACTACACTAGGACGGACTTTCAAGTTATTTACTGGTATCAGTCACTACGTACAGCCACATTCCTCCACTTTCATGTTTGGAAGATCGGCCTTGTAGATGTTTCGGTCTCCGTCAAGATACACTATCGACATTTTTGTCAATTTTGTTGGAGCACAACAAGGAGTGATGGATGCAAATGGATTCTTCCGACGATACTCATCTAACACTTGAGAATAATAGTAACGATCCGGAAACAAGTCGGGTGTCTGTGGAGATCGACCACATTCTCCTACACAGTAATTAGCGCTGTACCCTCTGGGCCACACGATCCAGTCGTCCCAATTAAGCTGTTCGAAACTAACCCACAGGCTCTGCTTACAGCATTGAGTGGTATGAGTGTTGCACGTGACGGCGTATCTCCTGCTTCTCCGTCGAGGTATGGGCTCTGTAGTTATTGCTAAAAATGGTCTGATACCTGGTGCAGATGACTGGTTATGTCTGTGAGAATGTCGATGTCGTCTCCGATGACCTCTCCTTCTGATCCCGTTAACGCCACTGAAGAGGACTGGTTCTACTGCTGAACCACAACCACTACAGTCAACAAGTAGCGTTAACTTTGTACTTTCTGGTTTAGAAAACCATTTCCGTACAGGGACACGTAGGTTAAACCGCTGCCATCCAACTGTGAAAGATTCAACATCGTGGGATCGGAGCCATCTCAGTGTTTTCACTGTATTGTTTGGGAATCGGTCTGCTTCGAATACGTATAGCGTCAGATTATTCCTGGGCGCTGTCTCATCTGAAGTTCTTGGCATTTTCTGACGGAGCTGGATCCACAGATTTGCAGAAACTACTCGAAGTCGTTGGGAGCGGCTTTGGGGGTGGTAGAAGTCTAATAGAATATTTTCGTTCCATCTACCACCTGCAAGAAAAATAAAGTTTATATTATTAACCAAAGCACTTCATGTTGATCTCTGCCTGGATGGAACATTTCTGGAAAAGGAAAAATCTCAACATAAAATCCATATATCAGTCCTACAATTTTCTACCTAAGTTACTAAATATAATACATAATATGTTTTAAAGATGCAGATATAAAAGTAGCTAATTAATAATAGGTTTATAATAATGGTATTAATTGATATCCGGTTACCACAACCTCGCCACAAGTATTTGGAATTACAGACGTTGAAAATGTATATTGTGATACAACTTTCAATTTTTATTCTGGTTTGCCCCTCAGTGGCACAGCGGTATGTCTGCGGACTTACAACGCTAGAAACCGGGTTTCGATACCCGTGGTGGGCAGAGCACAGATAGCCCATTGTGTAGCTTTGTACTTAACTTCAAAAAGCAACATTCTGGTTTGTTTAATATTTTCATGGGATATATCGAGTAAATGAAACTTGTGCATTGAAAGAGTTAACAAAAATGTACAGTCACAACCAGAGATGCTCTTCATGATCAAACTTATAGCAATTAAAATGTTTGCATAAATAAATAATGACACGCAGTCAAAAACCGGTTGCTTTATCTGTCGGTTTTGTGAGCGTAAAGCGTTACTCAACTTACACTACTGAATATATTTCTGGTTTGACTATTAGCAAGTTTGTATTTCTTCTGATACATTTAAGTAATGTATAATGTAGCAGTGTTCAGTGAGTCAAAAGATATAAAGAATCAGTACATATCGTACAGTCACTGTGGTGTTTGGCAGTTCTTAGCTTTTAACCGTATATGGGCCATATACCTCATCGAGTTTTTGAATAAATTTTCTTCAAATATTTGGGCACCTAATTGTTTGTGAGTCTATGGCTTTGTTGGTTACAGAATTTCTAATAGTATATGAGTCACACAAGAAAGAAAATCCCACCAATATTGCAATTCCTCCTATTAATTAGGGCTGGGGTCCCCTATGTATTTTACATCTATTTTCAGCCATTTATTTTTTGTTTTTGTTTTGGTCAGTTCTCTAAATATTCGTGGTTACCGCCAAAAAACACAAAATTACTCAACACCGTGTAATGTGTAGACCCCACCAGTAATGAGCGGAATAAATACAACTCGCTAATTAGAGGATTAATAACTACTATAGTAACTTCATGGAAAAATATATTACGTAAAAAACTCTACCAAATTAACGAGCGTGAAAGTAGGCTTAACTTATGTTACAACTACATAACATTTGCGAAAGCTTATCTACATAGATATTTTTCCCGCTATCACAACGCTTTAGCCAGATGAAAATTACTTTTATAAAAATCTAAACTCTCGTAAAAAAAAAAAGAACAAAAAACAACAACAACAACAAACCTCACTTTAATTGCTTATTCAATTTTACTGAATAAGTGGACCAGACTTAAGTGTAGTGCATCAGGCGAGAGAATAGAACATAGACAATCTGTAACAGTGAAGTGCAGTGGGTAACACAATTTGGACCTCAACAACCCTAACGTAGGGCAGTAGGTTAACATATTCTGAGCCTGAACTACAGAGCAAAGTGCAGTTGGCTCGTGAATCCGAACCGTTGAATGTTTAGACATCAAAGCGAACTGCATATGTGATGAAACTCAACTGAAGCCGTTGTCGCCAACATTGTATTAGATTCACCATAAAACCAAACCGAGTTTACGTGAACTTACACTTCAGATCTACATAATGTAGTCCCTTGGTGGGACAGCGGTATGTCTACGGACTCACAACGCTAAAATTCGAATCGATTCCCCGCGATAGACACAACAGATTGCCTAATGTGACTTTGCTCTATAACACACAAACAAACTATAGAATGTATATTATATATATATCTTATAGGTTCAACACTAGCGCAAGTAGACAAAGGAAATAACAACAAAAAAAAAGCATGCACACAGAATTCTAAATAGTTATCTTTCTTGCTTACCATGTGGTTCATTCCCCTTATAATACAACATGATATATGCAATCGATGGATATTTAAGACGCCAAGTACACTGGGTTTCAAATATAAAATAAATAAAGTTAATAAATTATGAATTTTATTCGACATCTATTAGAACATTTTCTGAATATTATACTTTTCAAGGCTGCAACAAAGGTTATAAGCCTAACATGGTATGATGATTAGTCCAATCAACTCGCAATCTGTGTGTTCGAATCCCTTCATCGAACATACTTGTCTTTTCAGCACTGGGAGCATTATAATGGGACGATCAATCCCACTATTTGTTGGTAAAAGAATAACCAGAAAGTTGGCGGTGACTGGTATTTACTAACTGTCTTCACTCTACTCTATCACTTGAAAATTATTGACGGCTAGTGCAGATAGCCCTCGAGTAGTTTTGCGCGAAATTCAACAGACAAAACAAAGTTCATAAATTGTAAAAAAATAACATACTGCGAGTAATACAACAAGGTTTATTACATAGGATTCAGAAACAGTGCAAACAAAATAACAATTCCTGAGAGGGAAGAAGAACCTGGCCCTCCCTGGTCCAAAGCATGGACCGAATCCTGCTGAAGAAAGCATGGCCAGGTGGTTAAGGCACTCGACTCGCAATCTGAGGATCGCGGGTTCGAATCTCTGTCACACCAAACATGCTCGCCCTTTCAGCCATGGGGGCGTTATAATGTGACGGTCAATCCCACTATTCGTTGGTAAAAGAGTAGACCAAGAGTTGGCAGTGGGTGATGATGATTAGCTGCCTTCCCTCTAGTCTTACACTGCTAAATTAGGGACGGCTAGCTCAGATAGCCCTCGTGTAGCTTTGCGCGAAATTCAAAAACAAACAAACAAACAATGCTGAAGTAAAATCATCATAAATTGTATCCCATATATATGCCCGTGGCAGGAAGACATATGTGCCGATGACGGTGAAGGGGTTAACACGTTATAAAGATATGTACATTGCTAAGAAGAGGGAAAAACTTAGATATATATTTAGTGTTAGTCACGTTTCTTGTCTCCCTTACCCTTCACGAAGTGTGAAATTAAAGTTGTTCTTATTCGTTAGCATCTCCCCCGGTAGTAAATGTAAGTCGGACGGATTACAACGCTAAAAACCTGGTTTTGATTCCCGTAGTGGGCACAGCACAGATTGCCCATTGTATAACTTTGCGCTTAGCAACAAACAGAC